TGAATGCCACACCATTCCCTTTCAATTTGTCATTCCTGGAACAGTAGATCATATGGTTGTCTATTCAGAATGGCCCAAAACAGTCCATTTCAGCTCACTAATGCCTAGGATATTGATCTTTATGTGTTCCATTTCATTTTTGACAACTTCCAGTTTTCCTAGATTCATACTTCATATATTCTGTGTTCCAATTATTAATGGATGTTTGCCATTGTTTCTTCCTATTTTGAGTCATGACACATCAGCAAATTGAAGTCCCAAAAGCTTTACTCCATCCACATCATTAAGGGCAGCTCTACTCTGAGGAGGCAGCTCTTTCTCAGTCGTATTTAAGTACCTTCTGACCTGAGTGGCTCATCTTCTAGCACTATATCAGTGTTTCACTGCTATATTGTAAATTTTTTACTAAGCATAGTAGAAGTTTTGAAATGTTGCCCCCACTTCCCACTGTTGATGCCTCCTACTATTTTAAGCCCACCATCCCATGTTCTCTTGTAGGACTTCCAACTAGATGCTGCCCTCACCTACTGCAGAGCTGCCCGGCAGTTGGTAGAGAGAGAGAAATACAGTGAGATCCGGCAACTACTGAAGTGTGTCAGTGAGTCAGGCATGGCAGCCAAAAGTGATGGGGACACCATCCTCCTCAACTGCCTGGAAGCATTCAAGAGAATTCCACCCCAGGTGCGCTCACTCCTATACCTCTCACCTCCTCCTGTCTACTTCATTGTCTGCTATCTTAGCTGTCTAGTGCTGCTATAACAAAAATGCAGCAAGTGGGTGACTTCAACAAATGGAAATTTATTTTCTCACAGTTTAGGAGGCTAGATGTCTGAATTCAGGATGCTAGCTCTAGGGGAAGGCTTTCTCTCTTTGTCAGCTCTGGGAGAAGGTCCTTATTCCTTGGCTCTGTGGTAATCTTTGTGTGACTTAGCATGTGTCTTCCCCCATCTCTGCTCGCTAGCTGGCTTGTTTAATCTCTTTTATATCTCAATTGAGAACAACTCAAGATACACCCTACACTAAAATCCTGCCTCATTAACATGGCAAAGACAGCCCATTCCCAAATGGGATTATAACCATAGGCATAGAGGTTAGTATTTACAACATAAATTTTGGGGGGACACAATTTAATCCACAACAGTCTTTATATCCCACTCCTCATTTTTCTGTCTGCCACAGTGTATCTGAAACTCTACAAGATAACTTTATCTTTCTGACCCCTCTACAATAATGCTCCTATTCTAATCAAACCTTCTCGGCGAAGAAGAGTTCATGGTGATACCTCTCTACCCAGAAAATGTCCCTCAATATCTCATTGTCTAATACAGTTTACACCTGGCAGTATCTATGGAGCAACAGAGTTGAGCTTCTCCCTGTGATTCTAGAGGAGGTCAGAGTGGGGAGGAAGGTGGCCTTTGAAGCATGATGCTTTAAAAAATTCCCCCTATAGCTCCTCTGTGGAGTGAACAGAACCATATCTGTTTGTAAAAACCAAGAACATGCCTTTTGGAAGCTGTGACTTTTCCTCAGTGTCCCCAAGCTTAGTGTTATCTGTTAGATTTCCTTTGTTGCTCTTATACCAGGAGTTGAGTTTAAAAAGAAGAGTCAAGCAGACATCCCCAGCCTGGAGTCAGAATGGCTGTGCTGAGGCTAGCTTGCGGCGTGGCTCCCATGCTGGGAGATTCTCCTCCGTCTTATACCTGCCATGTTTCTCTTCTGCACAGGAGCTGGAGGGCCTGATCCAGGCAATCCACAACGATGACAACAAGGTGAGTAGCATCATCACCAAACCCTGGTGATGCTAATGAACTTGCCTTTTTCCCTCTTCCCCTTGCTCCCCACAGCAGCACCTGTGTCTCAGCTGCTTTGTTGTCCAGAGGTGGGCTGGATATTTGGATAGGGGACTAGAAGGGAGGGAACAGAGAGGGGAGCAGTGGCTATCTACATGATGGTAACCATCTGCATGAGCCTTTGCCTTCCCATTTCTTTATCCCCAGAGCAAGCATGTCCTAGGCTACTCTTGGGTTTCCATTTTATACCAGGGTACTGTCTCAGAGAGCCCTAGGAAATCCCTCACTTTCATCTTTAGGGTGACTGATTGAATGTGGTTCCAAAAGATGGAACAGCAGTTACAAAGTGCTGTTCATCAGCATTCTTCTGGGGGCAGGCAGGGAGGTGGTAACCCTTTATTGTAAGAAGAAGCCCTACTCTGCCTTTTGACCAAATTTCCCATTCTCCAGAACAGACTTCTTCCCTGAAGTTACTGGGTTCTTCCCTGTATAATCAAAAATCAGCAAACCTTCACTTCATGTTGCCTCTGTGATAAGTGCCAGCCAAATTGAAAGTATTATCTGCTGCCCTGTTTGTGGCTAACCACAGGATTGATCCCCTTGCCATCTGGAGGATGACCCAGAGGTCAGGAGGGGCCCAGGAAAACCGAGCCAGACTTTGAGCTGTCCTTGGCACCAGCAGTGGAATGATCTGGCAGATAAGTTGTTCATAAAGAAACAGCTTCTTACACAACCACAGAGCTGCTGTGGCTATATTGCTGACACCTTGGCTGAGTTTTTTTCAGGGCATTTTTCAGTTGAGGGATAAGAAGGACATTCTAAACATACCTTTATTTATTTCTGCAATATCCAAATGAGATCCCATGGAAAAGTTGGAAGAAAGCTCTTCACGTTTTCAAACGTAGAGCAATTCTTCCCAAGAACCGGAATGAGAAACTAACAGGCAGGACGGACACCCAGGTTCCTGATTTGCAGACTGCGGTTCTCTTCTGAGCCTTCACTGAGCTTCACAATCAGCAGACAGAGGTTTTGCCCCTAGGGAATACATACATTGCTAACATCAATACATTTGTTGCCACTTTTTCAGGCTTTTCTCTCTGCAGCGGTTCTGATGCACTAAGGTGATCTCAGGCCACAGAGTCTTGCGAAAAATCAGCTTTATTCAGCTATTGCAAACACAGGAGCTCTGGTAATGCAGTGGTTAAGAGCTCAGCTGCTAACCAGAAGGTCAGTGGTTTAATCCTACTAGCCACTGCACAAGAGAAAGCTGTGGCAGTCTACTTCCATGAACATTACAGCCTTGGAAACCCTATGGGGCAATTCTACTTTATCCTGTAGGGTTGCTATGAGTCAGAATCAACTCGACAGTGACAGGTTGCAAACTTTTTTGCAAATTGCCCTTCTTGTCTTGTTAGGAATTTTGCCTGCCAGTTTGTGATATATATTAATACATTTGTGATACACAGTTAACAGAAATGAGTGCTCAGTGGGCCCTACAAGGACTGGGTGAGAGCTAACATCCCAGGGCAGAGAGGAGATGCCTCACACAGTAGGACTTGGTCACTTTAGTGAACACAGATATCTGCTGACTTCTAGGAGATTATCTGTAATTGAGCTTAAACGGGAAAGACTTTAGTGACCAAGACAAAAAGAAATTGGAGCATTGAAACACAAAGAGAGGAGACCCCTTCCACTAACCAGGAGGGACTGTCACGGCAGAAAGACAGCTGCTAGTGGAAGCTCACTGATGGCTCACAAGAGCCTTGCAGGCATAGCCTAGGACACTGGCTAACCAGGCAGCTTGTTGTTGTTGTTATGTGCCGTCGAGTCGGCCCCGACTCATAGCGACCCCTCCTTGGGTTTCCGAGGCAGTATCACTACGGAAGTAGGATTGCCCAACCTTCCTTCCGAGGAGTGGCTGGTGGGTTTGAACCGCCAGCCTTCTGGTTAGCAGTCAAGTGCTTTAGCCACTATGCTACCAGAGCTCCTAACCAGGCAGCAGTGCTGCTGAAATCAAGGCCAGGGAAGGAAGGAGCTCCCGCCTCGCCTGGGTTTTATAAGACAGAGAGGGTTCTAGAGACTGGGAGCTACTCCTGATGCAAATAATGAAGTCAAGTCAACCTGGAGTTAGAGCTTAATTAACCTTTTCTAATTGTATATATGCATTTTCCTCCACAAAATTCCTTCCTAAAGGATTATCTTTTCGCATTTCTTTTTTTTAAAATTAATTTTCTATTATTATTGAAAGTATAACATAGCAAAACATACAACCAGTTTAGCAGGTTCTACATGTACAATTCAATGACATCAATTACATTCTTCAAATTGTACAACCATTGTCACTCTCCCTTCTGAGTTGTTACTCCTTCCTTAGCAGAAACTCACTGCCCCCTGAGGTCCCTATGTAATCTTTTAAGTGGCTGTTGTCAATGTGATCCCATATAGATAGTTCTCAAAAGCGCATAATGCTCAAGGCAGACTTTTTACTAATTAACTGAAAACACCAAACTCACTGCCATCAAGTCGATTCCGACTCATGGTGACCCCTTCTTGGGTTTCCAAGGCATCATCTCTACGGAAGTAGATTGCCCAGTCTTTCTTCTAAAGTATTGTTTAGTTTTAAGAAGACTCCAGGAGGTGTTTTCAGTTTAAGGTTTAAAGATTTTCTCAGGACAATAGTTTCAGGGGTTCATCTAGCCTTCGTGGCTCCAGGAAGTATGGAGTCCATGAGAATATGAAATTCTGTTGTGCGTTTTCCATCTTTTGATCAGGATTCCTCTATGGAGTCCTTGATCAAAATGTCCAGTGATGGCAGCCAGGAAGCATCCAATTCTTCTGGTCTCATAACAGAGGTGGCAGTTGTTCATGGAGGCAATTAGCAACACATTCCATATCCTTCTCCTATTCCTGACTTTTTCCTCTGTTGCTCCAGGCAAATAAAGATCAACTTTGCACCTTGGGTGGCCACTTGCAAGCTTTTAAGACCCTAGACACTACACAGCTTGTTAAAGGACTTCTACTTAGTAGATTAGGAGCTTGGGTGGCGTAGTGTCTGAGGCATTTGACTGCTAACCAGAATGCTGGTGGTTCAAATCCACCAGCCAGTCCTCAGAAGGAAGATTGAGCAATCCACTTCCGTAGTGATACTGCCTCAGAAACCCAAGGAGGGGTCACTATGAATTGGATCTTACTCGACGGCAGTGAGTTTGATTTTTTGGTTTACTCAGCAGATTGGAAACAAAAAATGGAGAAGGGAGATCTTTGTGCTCATTGTAGGGGAGGAGATATGATCATACATTCATTCGATCATTCATTTAATACATATTTATTGAACACCTACTACATACTAGACCCTAGTGCTAGGTACCAGGAATACAAAGGTGGAAGAAGACATTATTCTTGACCTCATGAAACTTAAAGTCCAATCAGAGAGATAGGCATTAATCAAATAATCATTCACAGAACTAGAATGACAATTTCTGGACAGTGACGGTGCTGGCTCTGATGCCAGGAAGAAAGCTGGAGTGACGAGAGTAGTGAAGATGAAGGCATCAAGGGAGTGGGCAGAGGCCAGACTCTGCCTTCTACCTTTTCCTTTTGAAAATTCTTGGTTTATTTTTAATAACTTTCATTTTTAATTTTTATTGTGATATGGGTGAAAGTTTACAGAGCAAATTCATTTTCCATACAGCATTTCATACACATTTGTTTCATGACATTGACTGCAATTCTCCACAATGTAACTGCTCTCTTCCCACTTCCTCCTCATAATTACTTCTTCCCTGTATCCTTCCTTCCCATGCACTCCTGCCCCCCAAGCTATCTCCCTGTGCAAACACTGCCCTTCTGTTCTTCCACGATTGATCAGCCCAAGGAGTGGATTTACGTGATGTAAATGTTCACCCAGCCTGTCTACCATTTGGCTGGAAGCCATAGGAGTGAGTTCAGTTTGAGACTTGAAGGATAACTAGAGGTCATAGTCTCAGGGGTTTTCCCAAGCTCTTTCCGGCCGGGGCAAAATCTGGTCTTTTTTTTTTTTTTTTTTATGATTTTGAGTTTTATTCCACATTGTTCTCCCACTCTATCCAGGATCATATTTTTAATAACTTTTTGTACCGTAAAGGAGTACAATATAGAAGCTTTGTGTCCAGAGTGAAGAGATACTGCATTAAAAGGCATTATTAATTTGGTGCGTGAGCAGCGAAGTCTCATCTGCCTTGCGCTCTCTACCCCAGCCCTGTGTATCTGTGGGTGATTGGTTGGCAGTGCTCTCCTTCCCACTGTTGCCTGTGTCTGATTGCCAGGTGCAGGCCTACCTGACGTGTTGCAAACTGCGTTCCGCCTACCTGGTTGCTGTGAAGCAGGAACACCCGCGGGCCACTGCACTGGTCCAGCAGGTGCAGCAGGCTGCCAAAAGCAACGGGGATGCCGTGGTGCAAGATATCTGTGCCCAGTGGCTTCTGTCAAGCCACATCCGGGGAGCCCACGGCTCAAGCTCCAAGAAGTGACCCTGGGCAGTGGGGCCAGAAAACGCATTCTGAGAACTGTGGCAACAGGAGGGGTGGTGAAGCTTCCAGCTCTTTCCCTCCGCAGAGCAGGCCTGCCTCGTCTCTGCTCCCCAGTCGGAAAGAGCTGGACTGGCCCCTGCCTGCCACTTTGGGCAAGGATAAGCCCTTTCACACAAGTGCCATGTTTCTGTAAAATTGTGGGGTGTGTGTTTGTTTGGAGATGACCAGTTCTTTCTACCTCAGTGAGTGAGTGTGTGTACACACACGTGCACACACACGTGCATGCTCTTGTGCACTCATGTTTACGCCCAAGCATTTCTGAGCAAATGAAACTCTTCCATTGTGAAGAGGCACTTTACTTTAGCCTTTTGCCTACCTGAAAACCTTTCCTGCATTTTGGTTCTTAACCCGGGTCGTCCTGTTTGTGCACAGCACCCTCCATGCGAAGATGCTTTAGTAGCTCCTCTAAACTAGAAGGGTTTTACAGAAAATTACCAAGCAGCCCCAAAGGCATTACCTCTTCTTGCCTTGCTTCCCTTCCCAAAATTCAGAGATGGCTTTGGGGTCAGGATCACCTGTGGATTAAAGTTGTTTCCCAGGTGTCTCCTCTGACAAGCACAAAGAGTTAATGGGAGTCTTTGGAAGGTAGTCTGAGTACAAGGGTCCTGAGGTTGCTGGCATCTTAAAGCTGCAGATGCAGATACAAGTGATCAGGGATCCGGACACACAGGCAGGAGGGGCACCATCACAGTAACCCAGAGGGGAAGAAAAGGCGAACCTCTCCAGTAGGGACCCAGGTGAGTTGCCCACAAGCACAGAGCTGGCTCATTTGAACACCTCTGCTGCAAAGTCAATGGGTAAGAGAACGTGGCTCCCTTTTTTAAAGTCAGGGAGTGAAAATGGCAGGCAGGATTCTGGGATTGAATATCTTGACTATTTGAATTACAGTCCCTTGTATGCCCCTTGAATTGGGTGGGAAACCACTTCCTCTTCTCTCCTGCTTCCCTTCAGACTCCTCAAGACCACAGGATGGACATGCAGATACCCAGGGGTCATTGGGAAAGCAATGCACTTTTCTGTGTCTCAGAGACTGAGTTGGGCCTATGGGAACAAGAGAACAAGGGGACAAAGGTCAAGTGCCATTGGTGGAAAACTGAGTGAAGTGGTTCTTTAATATGCACTATTTTGTGAGTGTGTTTTAGGAAGGGTCTATCATTCTCAGTGACTTCGATTTGCAAACAGAGGGGCCTAAAGAAAAGCTCTGAGCCTCCCGTGAGTCAGGACTCAGCCTGTTGATCTCATTGGAATGATGCAGCAGATAGGAACTGGAAGCTGAAGTTGGTGTCTCTGGTGCTTAGGAACCCTGTGGATTTCCCTCCTAGCCAGGTTTTTAATATTAAAATAAACAGCTATTGTGGGCACCTGTCGATGAAAGTTTTACTCCTGTTAGAGAAGAAGCAGACTACAAGGAAATACTAGTTCCCTATTAGGGGATGTTTGACAAGTTGCTTCTTCCTTGAGTCATGGAATGGATCTGTCTCCCAGGAAACATCATTCCCTGGCATCTGCTTTTCCTTTTTGCACTGACAATAAGCACTTTATACTAATGGGTTGCAAATTTTGCAGCCCTTAATTTGAGATGTTAAGACCAGACTTTCCTAACTTTTTCCTTAACTAGTTGAACTATAAAATAGGCAACCATTGACTAGACTGACATGGGTGAGGCTAAAAGCCTTTGCAGATCATACTGTGGTCTGGAAAAAAGAAAAGAAAAAAATGTACATACTGAAGGGTTAAATGTTTTACTACAAGCCAGCCACAATAAAGTGTGTGTCTACAAGTTTCTTATCTCCATTTTTTTTTTTTTTTTTGTACTGTCACGTTCTTTTCCCTTGTGTTCTGTGTGGAGAAAAAAGGTGGGTGGGAAAAGTCAGATGGCCTTCAACTCTTGAAATTTCTCTGAATGATCCTCATATGACTTAATCTAATGACCCTTTGGTTGGGATTGATCTCAAGTTTCCTATTTGTTAAAAACTATTATATACCTTTTGCCACCAGAAGACTTTTTGTTTGTTTCATTTGGGGGTAGGAATGGAGGTAGATAACACATTCATCAAGTCTAAAAGGTGGGTTAAAAGTCTCTCCATCCCTATCGGCCACCCAGTCCCATCCCAGAGGCCACCAATGTTAGTTTCTAGTGCATAGTTCAAGAGCTACTTTATGCATCAACAGGCATTGATAACTAAAGTATTCCATGGGAAGGATATGCTATAGTTATTCAACCAGTCCCTATTGATGAAGATTTTTAGGTTGTTGCCATCTTATGCCACTGCTACTTGGGCTGCAGTGAATCATCTTGTATAAAATTGCTGGGTCATATGACCAAAGAGGTCATAGCAATTAACTATCTCACCAGCAGTGTAGGAGAGTGTCCCAACAATCATCAAACTTTGTACATCTTTACTAGTGGGTGATGGGTGAAAAATGGTACTCTAAAACTTTTTAGATCTATATCCTGAGCAAATAATCCAAGAAGCTGGACTATATAAAAAATAACACAGCATCAGGATTGGAGGAAGACTCACTAACAACCTGCAATATGGTGATAACACAACTTGCTTGCTGAAAATGAAGAAGACTTAAAGCACTGATGAAGATCGAAGACTGCAGCCTTCAGTATGGATTACACCTCAACATAAAACAAGAATTCTCACAACTGGACCAATATGCAACACCATGATAAATGGAGAAAAGATTGAAATTGTCAAGGATTTCATATTACTTGGACCCACAATCAACGCTCATGGAAGCAGCAATCAAGAAATCAGATTTCGCCTTGCACTGGGCAAATCTGCTGCAAAAGATCTCTTTTAAAGTGTTTAAGAGCAGAGCTGTCATTTTGAAGACTAAGGTGCACCTGACCTAAGCCATTGTCTTTTTGGTAGCCTCATATGCATGTGAAAACTGGACAATGAATAAGGAAGAGCAAAGAAGAGTTGATGTCTTTGAATTATGGTGCTGCTGAAAAATACTGAAAATACCACGGACTGCCAGAAAAACCAACAAATCTGTCTTGGAGGAAGTACAGTTGGAATGCTCCTTAAAAGTGAGAATGGCTAGACTTAGTCTCACCTACTTTGGTCATCTTGTCAGAAGGGACCAAGCCCTGGAGAAGAATCATGCTAGGTAAAGTAGAGGGTCAGCAAAAAAAAGGGGAAGATCCTCAAGGAGAAAGATTGGCAACAGTGGCTGCAACGATGGGTGCAAGAATAGGAAGCATCGTAAGGATGGCGCAGGACCAGGCAGTGTTGCGTTCTGTTGTGCATAGGGTTGCTATGAGTCATAATGGACTCAATAGCACAAAACAACAACAAAACTTTTTAAAAAGCTGTCTTTTTAATTTTTTTTTAATTCTCTATGTATGTATGTATGTGTATATGTAAGTATTTGGAAGACAGCTACCTGGCCAACTAACTAGACAAGATCAATATTTGTGCCCATTCCAAAGGTGATCCAACAGAATGTGGAAATTATCAAACAATATCATTAATATCACATGAAAGTAAAATTTTGATGAAGATAATTCAAAAACATTTGCAGCAATATATTGACAGGGAATTCAGTCTGGATTCAGAAGAACCAACAAATCTGCCTGAGGAAGTACAGTTGGAATACTGTACATTCATAAGCACATTTATTGCTTATGAATTATTTTAAAAACCACTATGAACAAAATTGAACCATTAAAACCTAGAAAAACCTTTTGTCACCTATGGAATGAGGGATATCATTGCTGATGTCCGATGGATCTTGCTGGAAGCAAATAACACCAGAAAGATGTTTACCTGTATTTTATTGACTGCGAAGGCATTCGACTGTGTGGATCATAACAAATTATGGATAGCATTGTGAATAATGAGAATTCTAGAACACTTAGTTGTGCTCATGAGGAACTTGTACATAGACCAGGAGGCTATTTTTCAAACAAAACAAGAGGACACTGCATGGTTTACAATCAGGAAGGGAGTGCATCAGGTTTGTATCCTTTCACCATACTTACTCAATCTGTATGCTGAGTAAATAATCCGAGAAGCTGGACTATATGAAGAGGAACATGGCATCAGGATTGGAGGAAGACTCATTTAACATATGCAATATGTAGATGACACAACCTGCTTGCTGAAAGTGAAGATGACTTGAAGTTCTTACTGATGGTCAAAGACTACAGTCTTCAGTGTGGATTACAGCTCAACAGAATACTAAAAACCCCATGACTGGATGTTCTGGTTAACTAGTGCCACTCTGACAAGAATATACCACAAATGGGATGGCCTGAACAAACAGGAGTTTATTCTCTCACAATTTGGAGGCTTTAAGTCCAAGTTCAAAGTGCCAGACTCTAGGGGCTGGGTAAAAGCCCCTCAACTTTGGGGTCCAGCTCTGCCTCCTGTACATCCTCCCACTGGAGCTAGAGGCATTTCTTCACTCAGACAGTTGCTGGTTGCTGAGTCTGAGAAGCCCAAGGTTAACAAGTAAAAAGGCACAGTCCTGATATTGCCAAACCACACAGTAGGCCGTTAACTTAAGTCCATTGTAAGTCCCAAGGCTGGCGAGCATGGCAGGCTGCTGAACAACAACAAGACTACATGCAGGGTCCAAGTGTGCCATAAGCTAGAGACCATTCCCAAGGCTGCTGCTTATATGTGGGAAGCAGACCACATTCCTAATGCAGTTACTCAGCTGCTCCAATACATTCCACCATGCTTTAATGTTCTGAAAAAAGAAATAGCTGGATTAAGGGAGTATATGTACAATGTAACAGTGGTTGAGCATGGCAGCCACAAAGCCATATGTCCTGTGTTCAAATACCTGTTCTACCCCTTACTAACTGTGTGACCTTAGGCAAATTACTTTATGTCTCTGTGTCTCAATTTCCTCACCTGAAAACTGAGGATCATTTTACATATTTCATGAAGTTAGGTTAATTAAAATATGTAAAATGCTTAGAGTAATGCCTGGCACTTGGTTAAGTCTCAAGGAATGTTACCTATTCTTAGCTAATCATATATATCATATATATATATATATATATATATAAAACTCACTGCCGTTGAGTCGGATCCAACTCATAGCGACCCCTCCTTGGGTTTCTGAGGCAGTATCACTACGGAAGTAGATTGCCCAACCTTCCTTCCGAGGAGTGGCTGGTGGA